TATTTATCATATTATTATTATTATTATTGTTGTTGTTGTTGTTGTTGTTGTTGTTGTTTTTGTTGTTACTATCATATTTGTACTTTCATCTATTCTCTCACCTACCCCATATCCTCACCACGTTGTTCAATTTCTCAAACTATAAACATCCCTCCCTCCCCATCCTCCAATCGAGATAACTGGTTTTTCTCTGTGCAGAAATGGCACATTCGGATGTCCTGGAAGATCCGGACGAGCACGTCTACAACAACACTGATGGACAACGTGTGGACTTCTCCAACTCTTCTTTGTTGAGAGGTACGTAAATCATGGACCGTCACAGATACAGAACTTTACGGGCTCCAATCTCGTCCGTCTTAATAAGTTACTGTTATGTTAATTCGATTGTTGTTTGGTGAAGTTTCTATAAGCTGAAACACTCCAGTAGCATTTTGCGTCACTACGCGGTTAAATCAGATGCTCGTCAAGTTTTGGGCATGAGTTACTGATTTTTTTCTTAAAGCTTGTTCATTTGTCTTGTGTGTGTTGACCCCCCCCCCCCCAATTGTCTTGAACAAAAGTTGAGGTATTTGTGCGGTTAATGGAGGTAGGGGTCACCTGATGTCAGAGGTCAAATTAGAAAGAAAATGGCCGCTAAAGTTAGGTGACCTCTAAAGCTCGAGTGTCCTTGAAAACTGCAAATTTACAATCTCTTAGCCTGTGATTAACATTTTGCACTAAAATCCACACAGAAATACCCCCTTTCAATGGACATAAAAGGTGTTGAGCCAAACAAAAAATTCGAAAGAATTGCCCAATGGTGAGGAAAATGCTGTTTTCTTTGATTTCACTATATTTACGAGCTCCTGATTTCACCACAATGCTTCACATTCAAAACACGTCTCTGGGGGTGCTCATTCTGTTGGAAGAGCGACGTTCTTCATAGAAGCTTTTCAATTTTGTTTTCTTTACATTAAGTTTTAAACAGGCAGACAACAGCATCCACATTTTGAAATACTAAAATTTGCGTTACTGATTTCACGTATAATGGTGGAATCAGGCTGTCGTCAATTTTTGGGCATATGGGGTTATTGGTATCATCTTAAAGCCAGTTCTTTTGCCTTGCTGTTGTTGGAAAAATATCAATCTATGTTGAATAGAAGTCAAACTATTTGCAATTGAAGGAGGTCAGGGTTGCCTGGTTTCACAGATGAAATTAACGAGAAAATGGCCGCCAAAGTTTGGTAATTTCCATAGCTTGAGAGTCCTTGGAAACCGAAATTTGACATTATATGTGCCTTCAATCAATGTTTTTCAATAAATCCACACAGAAATGTGTTTTTAGATGGATATGAAAGGTGTTGAGCCATAGAAAAAGAAAATTAGAAAAAAATTATTCGCCTCTGATATCAGGTGATCATCACCTTCTTCAATTGCAGAAGTCTTTGCTTCTATTCAAAAGAAACGGGTATTTTTTTTCTTCAAATGCAAGACAAATGTACAAGCTTTACGATTATATCAATAATTCCATATGCTCGAAAACTGACGAGTGCCTGATCCCAAGGTATCGTGACACAATATTCTGTAACTGTTCTCCCTAGATGACAAGGTGAGTCCGCCTGCCCCCGACGCAAGTCTCCCGGACGACCAGATCTACTGTAACACCGGCCCGATGACTGGCAGCTTGACGGAGGCGACAGTTTGACAGGGGCGTGTCTTGTGAGGATGGGTGTGTCTTATTGATCAGGACAGGGGCTCTTCTTGTCATGGCAGTGACTATGGTGTGTCTTGTTAAATAGGACATGGGCGTTTCCTGTTAAACAGGACATGGGCGTGTCTTGTTAAATAGGACATGGGCGTGTCTTGTTAAATAGGACATGGGCGTGTCCGTTAAATAGGACATGGACGTGTCTTGTTAAATAGGACATGGGCGTGTCTGTTAAATAGGACATGGACGTGTCTTGTTAAATAGGACATGGGCGTGTCTGTTAAATAGGACATGGACGTGTCTTGTTAAATAGGACATGGGTGTGTCTGTTAAATAGGACATGGGCGTGTCTGTTAAATAGGACAGGGATGTATCTTGTCATGACAATGGTGTGTCTTTGTTAAATAAGACAGTTGCGTGCCTTAAATAGGAGATGAATGTGTCTTGCTTAACAGGAGAGGCGGTGTGTCTTGTCAAATAGGACATGTGAGTGTCTTGTTAAATAGGCCAGGAGGGGGGGGGGGGATTTTT